TCTTTTATAAATAACCAATTTTACAGTGCAAACCCACCAGTTAAACTCAAATTAAACTACAAAGAGAAACACCTACGCGCAATGTATGCAGTAGTGTTGTGCACATCCTGTTACGTCGTAGTCCACCTCCTGATGCATCAATTTGGCAGCTGTCTCTGGCTTCATGTCTGAGTGGATCTGGTCCAAGTCTTTGGTTCTACGCTTTGTCTTCCATGTCTTTGAGATGTTCTTCTTTTTATCGCTCTTATGGTTTCCTATTTGCTTGGACTTCCCCATGGTAGCCACAGCAGGGCTAGATAAGCACACAAAATATGTTTACTTATTATAGAGCATAAGGTTAGCATTTACATCTGCTTCACAAATGCTTTATAGCGTTTTTTTAATCACAAAAAGACCAACATTGCGGCACAAAGGCCAACATTTCCTTCTGACAACAGAGAAGCTAGTTCGTGTCACTGCAACAAAAACTAACATAATTCATCGGCAAAATACTGATGAACATATTCGATCACTAATATAACAGAGTTTCTAAAGAAACACGTCGTAGTGTGCTTACCTTCCACACGTGAGGCGGAGAGATATTGTTTACACTTCCGGGTTAATAGGACAAGGAAGTTCACCTGATAACCGCTAGGGGGCACCAAATATAACATTCTTAAACGCAATGTCCTAAAACCAAGAGCAGTACTGACTCAACGATAACGTAGATAAGCAAAAAGATGGTCTGCAAACGATTTGATCATGTCTTGTTGTATCTTCAGTATACTAAACGCTCAAATGGGAATATGTTAGAGAATAACAAGAATAAACAGCACGCAGTTCCTTATATTCGACAACCCTTTGATTGTACTCCTAGTAGTTTATCTTGCTGATGTTTAGCGTTGTTCTGCATCCTTGTTACTGCTTATTTGTCCACATAATTGTGGTTGCATGCATTTAGTTTTTAAGTTATTCTAACCATTCGTCTTCTGTATAAGGGTGCTTCCAATAATTGTTTATCTAGTCTTAACTAAATTCCTCTGTACATGCAACTTTTTTTAAGGTTAACTAATGGACATAATGCACAGTTCAGTAGTCATTTTTTGCCTCCAAATGCTTACTCAAATGTAGTTTTAACATCTCATTGTCGTTGTATGCACCACGTTTTGATAATTTTGTACTTTGTTACCACATTGTATCAGTATTAGCAAACTAAACGATTTATTTATTATGCATTTTTTGTTTCCTCTTCTCAATCTCCTCGGGTCCCTGTAGATTATTTGTCATCAGGCTGCTCAGGTGAAGTTCAGTTGACGGGCGTAGAAATTCCAATAGCACTTGAAGGCAGCGTTAGACTGCACTGCATACGCGCCGTGGCGAAGAGCGAAGATGGCGGAGAATAATGTCGAAGCGGAGCACGAATGGAGCGAGTGGGCCCTGGACGCAGCCGAAGACACTCTAATCGCAATGGAAACGTTGCTGGCCACGCTGAGAGCTTTCGAAGACGTACTCAGGCAACAAGAAATATCCGTAGCATCTTCCACAGAATACTGTGATAACTTCTGTCAGGTAATGTGTACATGCAACATCGAAGCTACGACTAGCCTTACGTTAGCTCGAGCTGGGCTGCTTTTTTCACAGCCTGGCAGAATTTATCTGCGACTGTTGTTGGCCTTCTGGCTACGTAGCTAAGTTTTAGTTAGGAGAGCAATTCTACGACGCGTGTTTTTGTTTGTTTTTCGGATGTGGCTATCATTTTGCAGAACAACTCGCCATCATTGGCTCAGTTATATTGGTAGATGAGTGGTTTACTGCCTGTTGGCTGGTTCCAGTTACTTTCTGTCGTCACTGGCGTTTGGCTTCGTTTTATTTGAAATTCTCTTGTAGATTCATATTAAATTCTTGTTTGTACATGTCATTGTCACAGTTAGCACATCACGTATTTCTGCATGCATGCGGGGCGGGGCAGACTCGCAGTATGTTTACCCCCAACATTTGGATAAGATGCGGTTGTCTTATACACATCACGTGCCCTTTACTATGTTGTCAGTATGAGTAAAAGGATAATGTGAAAGTGAAGTTATAGCACTGCTATAACTTCCATTTTATCCATATATTTCTTATCACTAATGGTAGTGGTTTGAATTAAAAAGAGTATAGATTTTTTACAAACTATCGCTAGAGGTATTATTCAGAGGCTTTATTGAAGTAAAAGTGTTATTATTACAAGCTAAATATTGATATAAAACCCCATGTATAAGTTTGAGTACATTTGAAAAGCCAAGTTCAATTACTAAAAATAAAGATTTTTTAGTTTCTCTCTTGAGTGTTTTGTGAATCTTAAGAATAAACTTTCAGAAGATAAAGGGCAGCCATCCCTCTCTATCTCTGTCAAACAGTTCAGACATCTAATAATTCAAATTACTCCAGAAAAACTGAAATTGAATTGTAGGTGTTTCGTGTAAAAAAATTGTTAACAAAGTAGATCATCCAGCAGTGAACAGACCACTCTAGCTTATCCACAATATTTCAAAAGCTTGGTGTGACAAAGTCCCAATAATATAATTTTTGTGTTTAATATTAGAAAATAAAAGTGGGTGATATTTTCAGATGTAGTGGGTCATGTTTCAGCTCACTAATGAAATAATTATGCCATTTTTGCTCTGTAGTGCAGTATTTAAATACAATGTTATATTTGCATCTAACATTCTTGTCAGAGGAATCTCTCTGCTTTCCAATATTTTCATAGTTTCTTAAACAGTCACTTTCGCTTTTGCTGCTCGAGTGACTTTGCTTCAGGAATATCCAGCCAAACTTGGTTAACAGCCAAAGTGGATTGTCCATCCTTCCATTCTTTTAGCCGCCTCTTATCCGCTTATGCCTAGTTGGGTCGGGAGGGGGCCTGGAGCCCATGACAGCTGTTATTGGGCTAGAGGCGGGGTACACCCCGGATTACTGAGTACCTGGTCAGTTATTCATAAAACAGCTCGTCCTGATAGCTGTTCACCCACTCTTAGCCATAAAATAGGCGCCCCCCGATTGATTTTGTAAGTCTGCTTTTTAACCAAATAGTCCCTTGCGTGGTTGATGGCCTTGGGGGAGGGAGGGGGGATGAGAAAGAATAGTAGCACCTGTGACCCAGCCATTGGTGCTTTTAGCTGGGACCTTGCTGTGCTCGACCACTGTGCTTGAAAGTAGTGACTTCATGATCAGCATTCAGAAGGAAACCCACTCAATTCCAAATGAGAAAGTAACTACAATTGTTTGTAACACTTTTTTTGATAATAGAAATTATTCAAGCACTTAAGTGTGACTTTCAGCTCCAATTGGAAGTAGTCCATCCACTTGTAATTAGTACACTGATTTAGGTCTCTG